GCGCGCCAAGAAATCTTGTAGTGCAAGCGCGCTTTCTACCCATACCGTTTGGGAAACGATATACTGCAAGATGGTTCTACTATACGTTCGGGTCGGACGCACGCCTCCAAGAATGACACACAGTACTAGTATGTCCCCACGCGTCTCATCGCGCTGCGAAGACACCGCGACTGCAGGCTCTGGGTGATTTCCGGCCTTTGGGTGCCCTTTCATCGGGCCCCGGGGCTGTCCCCCCAAAAAATCGACCTGCCGAGCAGCCGGTCCCCAGGAGGGGCCTGGACGTCCGGGGAGCCACGCTGTGAGCAGATCGCGACGTCGGCTGTCAAGGCTCGATGTCGGCCGGCTCGATCCGGTCCGAGCACAGCTGGCACGGGGTTTGAGAGCAACCTTCGCCGACGACGAAGAAGACGAGGCGCGCAGACGATCCGGACCGAAGCACGGCTTGGGGAAAGGGCCCAGCTTGCAGGTGCAGGGCCCAACCTCAATACGTATGCTCTTCGCACGTTTGGGCCCCCCACCCTGGCAGCTACTTTGTTTTTTGCCGTCTCCGCCAGGCCCCTGGCCTTCGGCGAGGGACCTCGCGCTCGTAAAGCCACGCTCTTGTGGCCACGCTGCGGCTGCACTGTTGGGCTTGTTTTCCACCGCCACCACTAAGTAGGAGGGGGAGGGGGTCCTCCTCTTCCTCTTCTTCCGCTTCCTTCCCCCCTCCAACTTAAAGTGGTGGTGGTGGTGGAAAACAGGCCCATCATGCACGGTATTCCGACGACCTGGTGCGACCCGAGGCTCGCACGGTGTCGCCGTGCACTCTGGCGCGGCTGATGAGATTCCGTTCCGACTCTGCGCATCGATGCGGCTCCATTCAATGTCTGTTCCGATCCGATCCGGCTTCCCGATGCGATGCCGATTGGCCCTGCCCCCTTCCACGATGAGCCCATCGCCTCGCTCCAAGACTGATGGGCAAGTATTCTACCACCACTACCATATGTAGGACGGGGGAGAAGGGAGGATGAGGAGGTCCTCCTCCTCCTCCTCCTCCTCCTCGCTCCTCCTCCTCCTCCTCCTTCTCCTCCTCCTCCCCCTCCTCCTTCTCCTCCTCCTCCTCCTCCTCCTCCTCCTCCTCCCCCTCCTCCTCTTCCTCTGCCTCCTCGCTCCTCCTCCTTCTCCTCCTCCTCCTCCTCCTCCTCCTCCTTCTCCTCCTCCTCCTCCATTCGCCACAGACGGGGTTCGTGACGGAAGGGGCGAAAACCCGAGAGGATGAGGGTCTTGGACGGCTTCAAGAACGCCTCGAGGGCCAGGAGATCGTCACAGGGGGGGCTCATCCACGGGAGGGGCTTGCTACGCACGGTTTTCTTGTTGACGGAAGGGGCGCGCCCCCGAGAGGATGAGGGTCTTGGACGACTTCAAGAACTGGAAGATACGGCTGCTGGTGACGACAGGACTCCTCTTTTGAATAGGGCCGAGGGTGAGAGAGCGCCTTCCTCTGCAGGACCACCAAGAAGGGGACGTCAATGTGGTCAAACGCCTCGCCGGTAAAGCCCATGAAGATGTGCAGACCTGACCCCCCAGCTGTACTCAACTCCTCTTCGTCCATGCCTCCACAGTGGGGCCAGAGCAGGTGGGGTTGGAGAATCCCGCCGCATCGCCGATGCCTCGGCGATGCGGCACGATCCTCCGACCCCATCTGCTCTGGCTCCGTTTCATTGTTCGAAGCAAGCCAGGAAGACGACACGATCATACATTCTCAGGCGTTCGCGCCGACCTCAGACAGTTTACACGTTTGCGCAGTTCTTTGCTCTCCTAGGCGGCACCCGCTGTGGTCCTTCCTCAGGTGGAAACACATCCGATGCCGATGCCCTTGCCTCGTTTTTTTTGTTTTTGATGTTTGGCCTCTTGAGGGGCCCCCGCCCCCACAACTGGATTCACCCAGGAATCCTGGTCAGAGCGCGCCATGAGGAGTGGTACGGGCTTGTTCTCCAAGCTTGGCGACGGCCTGAACCCGCTGTCGGCCCCGGAGCGCAGACAGAGAGTGGGGTCTTTCCTACGGTTGGGCCCTGCTGCAGGTCCATCATCAGTGTTACGACTTCAGTCTCGCTCGAATCTTCACACGGTCCCAGTGTAGGCCCCCCGCGGGGTTCGGGAGATCTCCTCTTTCTGGTCCACGCTGAGACAGGCATGCGTGTGGTTGCTGAGAGGAGGGCGGGAGGGGGCCTTCGGAAAACTACGAGCACCGAGGTAGCGATGAAACCATACTATGACTCTGCGTACCGAGGGGCACAGAAACCAATAGGCGTAATATCGCGTGTGGCCGGTGCCGCACACCATTTTTTGCTCGTCGGTTGCAACTGTTCCTGGCATCTTCTATTGTCGTCGGCCTCCTCTTCCTCGTCGCCCTCTTGCTCGTTTCCATCTTTCTCCTTTAGCCTCATACTTTACCTTTTCGTCCTCTTCCGCCTTGACCCTCATCCTCGTCCTTGCCCTTCTCGTCGTCGCCGCAGTCGCCATTCTTGTAGCTCTCGTCGTCGTCGTTGCCGTTTCCCCCTGCTCCCAAACTCAGGGCATCGCGCCATGCTTGTGGCCAGATGCGCTCCTCCTCCGCCAGCTCCTCCTCGTCCTCCCCTGGGATTCTCCTCCGCTTCCTCATCCATTTTACTCTTTTTGCCTGCGCTTGCCGTAGTAAAGCCAACACGCTTTCAGATGTGATGGGGCGAGGGTTGGATATTCCGACCATTTCTCACGTCGTGGTCTACGACATGGGCGACGTAGACGACTACGTCCGCCGCCGCTTTCTGTGATCGTGCCGTATCTTGTTTCCCATTCGTGCGCTTCCATTTGGCATGCTCTCGTCCGATACCTACTAAGTTTGGCCTCTGCGCATTCTCCGTTGCCTGATCTTCCGACGCTGCAGGTCCTCTGTTTCCGCCTCCCTTTGCTACAGTCGAACTCGGTTACGGTTGCCAGGATGAGCAAAAGACGCCAGTGGACCTTGTATCTTTCAGTTCGGTTTCTTTTCGGAGACTCGTGCGTCCTTATTATTGTTTCCTTGTCATGTTTTGGTGTTTTCTGTGTGCCTCGCATTCCAATGCCCGATTGTGACTGTCTTGCTTCGGCTCCTCCGTCTTCGCATCGCGAGCAGGGCGAGGTGAAGGAGGGGGAAGCGGATGAGGAAGTGCGATGTGCAAGGAGGAGCGATGACGACAGGTGAGTACAGTGGACTGCTCAGAAGCAGGGGCTGGCCATTCCCCTCACATATTGGTTGGACAAGGTGGTTCTGTAGTGCAAGCCGCTTTGTCCTGACCAGTAAGGCCAGGTACAATGTTTGACGGTGCGCTGTGCCGTCTGTGCACAACGAGATCCCGCGCTTGTCGCCATCTAGTGGTCTTGGGTCCACCCCGAAGCCTTTGGGATGTTCGGTGGGATCTTGTGGGAGGCTTCTCGGGGGCCATTTGGAGGTAGTTTGGCAGCTTTGACACCTTTTGAGGGCCGTTTTGGGGCTTCTTGGAGCCTCTTTTTGGCCTCTTGGGGGCCTCTTTGAGCCTCTTGAGGGGCTCTTGAGGGCCTCTTGGGGCCTCTTGGGCGTCTCTTGGGGCCTCGTGTGGTCCTCTCGGGGCGGAAGGCTCGGATTTTCGGTTTGTGTTCCCTCTCTTGGGCTCCTTGTGGGGCCGTCTTGGGGCTCTTGGGCCGTCTTGGACGCCTCGTGAGGCTCTCTTAGGCCCTCTTGGGGCCCTCTTGGAGGCCTCTTGAGCCGTCTTGGGGTGATCTTGGGGGCCTGTCGTGCCGTCTTGGAGCGTCGGAAAACAGAATAGGCGAGAAGTCCAAAGTCCTTCCGAGACCTACAGAACATTAATGATTTTTGCCTCTTGGGGCCCTCTTGGGAGGCTTCTTGGAGGCCTCTTGGGCGTCTTGTAGGCCTCTTGGGCCATCTTGGGGCCACCTTGAGGCCATCTTGGGCGTCTTGTGGCGATCTTTCGGCGTCTCGGGGTCCTCGCGGACCGTCTTGAGGGCCTCATGGGGCCCTCTTGGCCTGTCTTGGAGCCCTCTGGGGCCCCCAAAAAACCGCGCGCCACCGCGCGGGGGAGCGGGGGAGCCCAGGCGGTTCACGGGAAGCCCAAGGAATTTCAATTTTGGGTCCAGGCCTTTTTAAACTTTCCAGGGGTGATGATTGAGGCGTAGAGGAAGGGAGAGGACCTGAGGGCACGCCCACTCCTTGCCCAGAGGCATGGTGGCGGATGAAGGAAACGGCTCCTGAGGGAAACGGGTCCTGAGTACGGTTTTCAATATTTTCGGGCTGCCCAGGCCCTCAACAGGCCCCTGGACCGTCAAAAACAATTCAAGATGACAAGCTGGTCCTGGGGAAGGCCCTCGGGTGAACGACTCGTTTCTGTCAGGAACTTCATGCCGAGTTTGTGGCAACTTGCTGCATTCGTTTGCGAGATTCCTCACCTGGCTGTGGCCCGAATTGGCCCTGAAGTGCAGGCAGTCTACCTGAGGTGCCACACTCGAGCATTCGGGAGAATTGTAAGCTTGCTCGAGCCTGCCGATGACCTGGTGATTGAATATGTGGGACCCATTGTAATGCCCAGCAGCAGGTTGATCGGCAGAACGAGAAGTTGTTAAGCATCCATCACGCCGGCAGAATTCTGATACTAAGATCGAGCGCGCGGGACGAGCGTAGCCTCCTGCGGAAGAAGTAGCTCGACGCGCTCAGCTGTCTCTTCGAGGCGGAGCGCAAGCCAGAGGTGCCTTATCTTGGCCGCCAGTGCGCCCTATTCACAATAGACAGGACACAGATTGTTCAGAGGTTCAATCTCTGACGAATCGGGCAATGGGTCGGACTGGGCCGCTCTCCCAGCCAACGCATCCACCGGATCGTGGCCAAGCCTCTTACACTTCTCGTCGGCATCGACAGCCTCCTGCACATCAAGGTGAGCCTGCACCTGGCGCAGGTTGCCAACCGGAGAATTTCGTCGACGCGCCTGGGCCCTACCTGCATACTCTGCTGCGACTAGTTTGGCTGACCCAAGAGATGGCAACGCAATCAACGGCATCCAGTCAGCCAGAAGTATGGGGGATAGGAGCGAGGAGCGGCGAGCGAGGATGAGGAGGAAGAACAAGTAGCGAGGAGCGAAGCGCGATGGGGAGCGAGCTTTGCGTTCCCCTCCCCCTAAGGGAAGGCGGTGGTGTAGTACGTTTGGGAAAGCGAAGCTCTCGTCTCACCCACCCACCCGACCTGCCGTGCTAGAGCTTGGGGTGGGCCTCTATTTCCCTCTTTGCTTTCGGCAGCTTGGCTTTGGAGGAGGAGGCGGAGGAGGAGGGGGAGGAGGAGGAGGAGGAGGAGGAGGAGGAGGAGGAGCTGCGAGGCTCGAGCAGCATCGCTGATCCCCGGGGAGCCGGGGCAGAGGCAGGACCCGCGCCGCCGCCGAAGCGCGCGCGCGCCAGAGGTGCACCGCATCGGGCGCACGGCGCGGGGCCCGTACGGCAAGGGGCACGCCCTGACGCTGTTCGAGTAGGGGGCCGGCCAGCGCCAGGTCTCCGCCGCTCGTCGGAGGAGGGAAGCCCCAGGGCGGGAGGGAGGCGCCCTGGACTTTGGCCCAGCATGCGTGAGGAAAGCCCTAGGGCGGGAGGGTAGGGGCCATGACGCGCGTCATGCCCCCTACCCTCCCCCCACCCTCCCCGCCCCCCCTTCAGAACGTAACGCTCCCCCCCTCAGTGCGTCCCCGGCACTGCCGCAGTGCGTCCAGCACCAGTCTGTGGGGAGGGGCGCTAATTACCTTACGCTCCCTCCCGTCCCCCCCCTTTCCCCCCCCCGCAGCGCCAGTTCTGGCCGCGAGACAACACAAAATCCGCTCGAGGGGGGCGCCCCAGACTTCGTCCCAGCAGGCGTGAGGAAAAATCTAGGGCGGGAGGGGGACGCCCCAGACCGGCCCAGCAGGCGTGAGGAAAAGTCCAACTTCCTCGCGTCGCGCACGGCAAGCAGGACGGGAGTTTTGATGCCTATGCTCGACCTCCGAGGGCCCTCGCTGAGCCCCCGGACTGCCAGGAAACTGCATAGGCATGATTCTTCGAGGGTCCTCGCAGATGTCTTGGGTCGGCGCTAGACCCCCCCCCCTGTCGACGCCTCTGGCGCTGCCTCCACAGCGTGCTTCGCGCGCCACGGGTGTGGGTCAGCACCGACCCGAGAGATGTCTGCGCGGACTTCGAAAGTTTGTGTTCATGTGTTCGTCGCTATTTTGGTAAGGAATGCGCCCCTTGCGCGCGGGAAAGTGCCACGTCCTTGCGCCGATCCGAGTTTGGGTCCACTTAGTACCCACCAGGGTGGCGCTGACAGCCCCGCTGACCTTGGCCGACTCGAAAATCTCGCCGAAATCTATGCATACACACATGAATAATGAGATCGTGTTGCATACACATATATACTTGAATGCATCTATATATGATTTGTCTCTGATCTTGCCTGGCCCGTCGCAGTGTAGCACACCGTTCGCAATGCAATTTATCTTGCCTTTGCCGTTTAGCGGTTCAAAGGGTCTGCATGGACCCAGGGCTCCTGCTTGCAGCGTACCACCAGATTGCCTCAGGTCTCCAGGCTGTCATCCTCGTCAGAGCCCCTGGCGAGTGCCCGCTGTGTGTCTGCGCGCTGGACTCCCGTGAGAGCGAGTGTGTGTTGGAGCCGGTGCTCGCGAGGTCCTTTGAGGTCATCCAGGATGCGTACCAGGAGTGCTCGAGTTCGAGGGACGGGCTCCGCTCGAATTCCCCTTGCTCGTCCGACGGCTCGCGGATCTGGCTGCTCGTGCTCTTCATTCTCAGTTGCTTGGTCGGCGCGCTGCTGACCGTCATCGTCTCGTGCTGCCTGTCTGTCTCGAGGCGCACCGTCCGCGGCCTGCTCACGCAGCCCGACACCCACCGAGCCTTCGCCGACGTGGCTGACCAAGAGTCCGAGCCCCGAGTGAGCATTCCGTCCGTTCTAAGGGCCAATGGCAGAAGCTAGAACGCCGGACATCCTTGAGCGGCAGGTTCTGATCAGTTTCTGGGACGATCCCAACAACCTTGTGTATCATCACCGTGTCCTTGTGTTCGCCACCCCGTCCCTGGGAAGTGGATCGTGGGTACCCCCGACTTCGATGTGCAGTACGCCGACCTGTCGGAGCACAGGGTCATCCCCCTCGGGCGCGACGAGCCCATGGCGGTACCGTGCCCAGACCTACGCGTTCGATGTGCCGATCGAGCCTGCCACCCTCGTGCGCACGCGCCGCGCGGGCCGCGACAGCCTGGAGGTCTTCGGGCTCGTGGGCGCGGCGGGCGCCGCCCTTGTGGGGGGCCGCTGGCGCGTCCCCGACCCGGCCCACGCTGCCTTCTCCGACGTGCTGCCCGAGGGCGTCATGGGCGATCGGGACAACATGATCATCAAGGAGACGGTGGCTTTCGTGCGCATCGACGAGGTGTGGGTCTCGGCCGAGCTGGTGGAGGACACCGGTCTCGAGGAGTGGAAGCGCCGGAAGGCCGTCGGCCCTGGGTACGACCCACGCCTCCTGGGCGACGAGATGATTGGTGGCCTCCCCCACATGTCCTTCCAGGAGATCGCCACACGCTCGAAGAAGGGTTCGCGGCCAGGCTGGCCTTCCAGGGCAAGGCCGCGGCGCCAGAGCTGCAGCGCGCCCTGATGGCCTCGAACCACGACTACGTCAGCCACCACCTCGACTGGCGCGCCAAGTCGGGGGTGAACGTGCACGGCGTGGTTAGCCGTTTCCACCGCCGCCTCTCCGAGGCCCTCGCCCAGATCGGCTCCCACGTCCAGCTCGACCCCGCCAGCGTCGCTGGCATCGAGTATTTGAGCCGCTGGTTGTTCGAGATCGAGACGGCCGTCCGCCGCAGCCCGAAGATCCCCGATATCGACAACCTCGAGGGGATCTTCGCGGCCCCGCTCGGCGAGGATGGCCGTGCTCTGCTCCCCGAGTTCGGCAGCTTCGTCTCAGGGTTGCAGCGCGACGAGGCGCAGCGCCTGAAGCAAATGAGGTTGTGGCGCGAGGGGAAGGGGCACATCCACCGCGGCGGCGGCGGGCGCTCCGACTTGGGCCGCGGCCGTGGCGGCGGCCGAGGCAAGGGCGGCGACGGGGCCGCCGACGGCGACTAGGCCCTCGGGGGCCGCGGTGGCGAGGCCCAGTGGGCGGAGTTTGGCTCGACTCCATCCGCGCCATCGTCTGCCTCGCCACCGCCGCCATCGAGCTCGACGTGGGCGCCGAGCTGACGGGCGAGACTATCGCTCGCTCCGAGGCCGTGCCCGCGGTGACCCCCTTCCCCAGCCGGTACCGCGCCGCTGGGATTTCGCGCGCGGATGCCGATCCAGGCTATCGTCGTGCGAGAGGCGATGCAGAGAGGCGCTCCGATGACTCGATGCCCTCGAGGCTCCGACTCGGGCACTTCGTGCCCATCGCGCTCCTGCGGGGCGGCGTCCGACGATGGCGCAGCGCTCCGTGCTGAGACGTACGTGGGATGAGGTGTCGCGCTTTCCTGCTCGGCCCGTCAAGCCGAGCGACGCCTTTCATGGCCTGTTGAAGTCTATAGATATGTAATTCATATCAACCTCGACACTTTCGACCTTATGACCCCGACGAGCTTCGGGCGCTGCGCGGGTTGGTGACCCCGCGCCCGCTTCGCGACCAGCTTCCTCCCGAGGGTCTCCGCGCTCTTGACAGCGCCGACCAGCCCATCTTCCGCTCCGCCGCCGGGATCGGTGCCCTAGTGGAGCAGGGTGTCATCGCGCCGGCGCGCCCCTGCTGGGGCCCCGTCCTCAAGCGCGACCTTGCTGCCAGGCTGGACATCGTTCGGCGCCTGCGCGCGGTGGGGCTGGTGGGGTTCAGGCTGGGCATCCGCTCTCGCATCGGGGCTTTCTTCGTCGCCAAGAAGGGCGGCGTGCTGCGGCTGGTGCTGGATGGGCGCGAAGCGTCTAGCCTACATCGCCGTCCGCCCCACTCGGTCGCTAGGCTCCGCGGGGGCCCTGGCGGGGCTCGGCCCCTCGCTTCAGGCGCTGCGTCGCGAGGGCCTCGACGACGACGACATCGACCCCCGTGGTGCTGGCGTCGACTCGCGCGACGGCTTCTACCAGTTCGTCGACGACGATCTCGCAGACTGGTTCGGGTTCGCCCCTGGCGCCGCAGCCGTGTTTGGCAACCCCGACGTCTACTTCCCTGACTCGCGCTCCTTCGGCAAGGTCGCCCCTGGTGCGAGGATTTTCCCCGTCTTCCGCGTCCTGCCGATGGGCTGAGGCTGGTCGCTATGGTTCTGCCAGCGCGTGACCGAGTCGGTGCAGCGGGAAGCCGTTCAGCGACTGGCAGGCTCGGCGTATCCATGCGCCACCACGGAGAACCAGCATGCGCCGCTCTTCTCCGGGGGGCGGTCTCTGAACTCGCCCTGCATTGACGGCGCCAGTGCCCTCGCCTTCTGTGCGGCCGATGCCGGCGCCGCCCTCCAGGAGGTCTGTGCTGAGCTGGACCGCCGCCAACTTGCCTGCCGCGAGCGGGTCGAGCCTGAGTCCGTCGGCGTGATCTTGGACGGGCAGAAGCGGAGGCTCAGGCACGCTGGCTCCAGGGCCTGGAAGCTCTACCTCGGGCTGCAGCATCTTCTCGGCGTTGGGGGGGGGGGGGGGGGGGCGGCGCGGGGTTTGCCTCGCGCATCATCTACGGCCACCTGGTCAACTTGCTCATGCTGGTGCGCCCTGTCCGCGCCGCGTTAGACAAGGGTTACCACTTCGTCGCGAGGTGCCGCGAGTCTCTCTCGGCTGGTTCGACGCCGAGCTGCTCGACGAGCTGCGGATCGCCAAGGGCTTGATCTCCATGGCGGAGGTAGACCGGGGGGCGCCTTGGGCGCCTGTGGCATACTGCAGCGACACCAGCATGTTCGGCTACGCCGTCCACGAGGCCGCCCTCGCCGCCGACGAGCTGCTCGACGCGTTCAGCGTTCGTGAGCGCCGGCGGTTCGTGGACGCGGAGCCTGCTCCCCCGCCTGGCCTGGAGGGCCCGCCGCCGACGGCCATGGGGGCTGGGGCTGAGGCGACCGCCGCCCTCCATGCCAGCCTAGTGGGGGGCCCCGCCTTCGACTGCGCCGACGACTATCTCGGGGCAACGTGCCTCGAGCGACGACCCCGCTGATCGGCCGCCACTGCGGTCCCCGGCGCCGTGGAGCCCGTGGCGGACCAGGTGCTGCGCCGCGACCGCTGGGCCCTCGCTGTCCGAGGGGCCTGGCGATGCGCAGCCCCCATCCACGTGAAGGAGGTTCGCGCCGAGCTGCTGGGCCTGATCCGAGCCTCGCGCAATGCGCGCATGCACGGGCGCCAGGTGGGCAGCCTGGGCGACGACATTGCCGCGCTCCCCAGCTTCGAGAAGGGGCGAGCTCGCGACTTCGACTTGCGACAGCTGCGCTGCTTCGCCGCGGCCCGCCAGATCGCCGCCGACACCCAGCGGCGGCAGCGCTGCGTGCGGTCCGAGCGGAACCCGGCGGACTTCGACTCCAGGGCGGCGGATCGCGGCGAGGTCGGGCCCTCGCGTCCGCAGTGGGGGGCTCCCAGCGCCCCGGCTGCCGTCGAGGCCAGCCTGGGGCCCCCGACGCCGGCGGCCCATTTCCAGCCGGCCAGCGCCCCTGCCGCGGGCCCCGTGGGCAGCCTTCCGCTGCGCGAGGCCCGTGGGCGCTTGGCGCGCGTGGCCGGCCTCGGCGCCCGCAGGGTGGGCCCGCGGGGCCGCGCTGCAGCGCGGGCGAGCTGCCCGCCGGGGGCTCCCCAGCGGGAGTCGCGGGCGCCGCCCTCTAATGATTTTCCGTGCGCGCATGCTGCCCAGCGGGGGCCTCGAGCCTCGGCAGAGGCCGCGGAGCTCAGCCCCGCAGCCGCCCAGGACCTCGTCCGCAGAAACGGACCTCACGCTGCCGCTCCTTCCTCGCCCGAGCGTGCCTTCTGCGAGGTCTTCGCGGGCTGCGCCTGGCTCGCCGCCGCCCTTCTGGGCCTCGGGTTCTTGGTTGCGGCCCCCGCGACTTCGACGTCGGGCCGCTGTTTGACGTCCTGGACTACGGGGTCTTCCGCGTTCTCGCTTCCTGGATCCGTGGGCGCAAGGTCTGGTGGGCCCACTGCGGGGCCCCGTGCGCAGCATGGAGTCAGGCCGCAGGGGCCGCTCGCCGTCGACATATCCGTCAGGTCCTACGGCTGGCCCGACGTACCGTGGACCTCATGGAGCTCTGCATGGACTTCGGGGCCCCCTGGTCCCTCGAGGACCCCGCCCCCTCGCAGATGTTCTCGTGGGGGCCCTCGGCATCATGTCTTGCGTCAACTTCGGCCGCCGAGATTCTCATTCATTACTGCCAATGCGGCTGCGAGAATAAGAAGCCGACCCTCGTCATTACCTATCACCCCGACCTCGGCGTCGTCGGTCGTGCATGCCCTGGTGCGCGCGGGCGCGAAATCCGGGAGGGCGAGGTCTCAGTCGCGACCGCTGGTTCGGTTCAAAGCCAGTGGAAAACCGCGTTTGCCGGGGCCTATCCGCCCTCGCTCTGTCGGGCGTGGGCCGTGGCCCTGGGGGCCATCGCGCCCTCCCGGGCCTGGCGCCGACGTGGGGCTGCAGCGCTCTCCGACCACTGGGGGGCTCAGCTGGCGGCCGCTGCCGGCCTCGGCGAGGACTGTCTCGTCCGGCCCTGGCTGGCCCTGGCCTCGCTGTCCGCGCGGTCGCCGCCCCAGTGGCCGCGCGATGCGCCGCAGTGAGGGGGGGGCCGCTGGTCTAGTCCCCGAGCCGGTCCCAGGGGCCCGCCGGAGGCGCAACTGCGCCGCGCCCGAGGTCTTCGGCGCCTGGCGACGCCAGCGGGCCGCAGACCTCATTCGACCGTATCTTCAGACAAGGCGGGCCAAGCCGATCACCCTGTGCCGCCGCCAGGACTCGTGCGCCAAGTTCAAGAGGTGGGCTCAGGGGCGAAGCCGCTCCCTCGCCAACCGCAGCCAGGTGGGCAACGCCATGGGGGACTACCTGGACGAGCTGTACTTCGCGGGCAAGGCCGCGGCCGTGGGCCGCTACGCCGTGCGCGGGGCGATCCACTGCATGCGGCTGCCGCGGCGGACGCCAGCCGCGCTCCCGAAGAGCCGCGACGCTCTTGCGGGCTGGTGCCAGGCGGGCCCCGAGCGGGCCCGCGACCCGCTGCCGCGGGAGGCCGCCGTTCTGCTGGCGGACCGCGTGGCCCAGCAGGGGCCCAGCGGCCTCGCGGCCGCAGGAGCGCTCGTGGCTGGCTTCGATGGGTACTTGCGGCCGTCCAACGTGCTGAAGCTCACCTCCGGAGACGTCCACATCGCCGCGGCAGTGGTGGGCAGGGCGTGCCCGCGTGTGACGGCCGCCGTCGCTCCCCTCAGCGTGGGCGATGGGGGCGAGCCTCGTGCGAGGCTCAAAAACAACGACCACGACATGACTCTAGTCTTCGGGGACCAGGCCAGCTTCAAGAGCGGCCGAGCCTTCGCGTCAGAGCTGCTGGCGGAGCTCAAG